GTAATATATAACATCATATTATATTATATGATGTTAATTGTATTATATTTTATATTATTCATATTATAGATACTATTATATTGTACTGTGTTGTGTAATGTTTCAAGTTAGAAAGACTTAAGTTCAAAAAATCCTGCCTCAGACATTTACAAGCTGTGTGACCCTGGTAAATCACTTGGCTTCTTAGCTTCATTTCCTCATCTGTAAAATGGAAATAATAATAGCATTTACCTCACAAGGATGTTGCTAGGCTCAAATGAGATAACATGTGAAATATGCTTTAAATACTTCAAAGCTCTTTTTGGAAATGAGCTATTTAAATATTATACTTTCCACAATAATAAAAACTTAGTACATAAAAATTCTGAAAAGAAACATAAGGAAACATTTTATGAGAGGGAAAATGAGGGGAAATGCAAATTTAAATGTATGAATGAGTATTTGTAAAGCAGTTTGTGAAACTTAAAACACTATTTAAATGCTTGGTATTGTTATTTTTATTGAACACGATTGTCCAAAGAAATATAATTTATATACCTTAATGGATCTTAAAGATGCTCACCACAATTTTCATGCCTGTCCATGCTTTGCAATTCTTGTCCATGTCTTATTATAACTCTTCTTAAAAAAAAAAAAGAAAAACTCTTTACTATCACTTTTATAGCATTTATTTTCTATCTTCCAATTGAATAATTATTGTTCAATAATATTCCATAATTCATACACTTTAATATGTTTAACTATTTCCAAATAGATTGGTTATCATCTTTAGCTTCCATTTTAGGGATAATGTGGAAAGAGCTGTTGCAAATATTTTTATATAAATATTTCCTCTTTTATCTCTTTGAAGAATATGCCCTGTATTAGTGACTTTTGGGTCGTAGTTAGAAATTGCCTTCAGAAAGGCTAGACCAATCATCACTGTATTAAGATGTTTATTATCTCACAACCCCTACAATATTTGTCACTTTCCTCTGTTGTCATCATTGCTATTATCACGAGGCTGAGTTGGACTCTGAGAGATATTTTAGTTTGCATTTCTTAATTTAACACTTTATTCCACAACTTCTCTGCCATTGAGACCCCTTCTCATAGTAAGTCCATCCAGTGTGCTAGAGGACTCCATCACTTTCTTCTCACATTGCAAGCACATTCTGACTGTACACCTCTAATTCTTACTTCTTGCCATGTTTCTAGACCATTTTTTCTTTCAATTATAAATTAATAATTATGAATTATAAATTCCTTGATAGGAATAGGGTCTGGACCTGTGGTTTTCTTGTTATAGTTTCTACCAGATGCGAAAACTCCTTCTACTCATGCATATCAGTATCTTCTCTACAACTAATATACTTGGAAAGTTGTCTAAATCTCCAAGAGATTTAGTGACCATTAATGTGTCACCTACCTAGTCTACATTCAGTTCAGTTTTGGATCCAATCAATTGTATAAATAATAGGTATTTTTTTTTATTCACTTGGTCTTTCTTGAGTAACTTAACAAGTCAGACACCTTTGGGTGATTACAGATTTCTTCCAGGAGGGTCTGCAATGTTCTGGGTACTGATTCGATCAGTATAATATCACCTGAAAATAAGAAAACCTCAGAGATCACAAAATTCTAACTATAATGAACCATATAAATATATTTAGTCCAACTCTCTTATTTTCCAGATGAAAAAGTTGTAACTGATTGAGCATAAATGACTTGTCCAAGGTCAGATAGCTAGGTTTAAATACAAATCTTCCGAATCTGATGCCAGTACTCTTTGCATTGTGCCACATGAAGAATTATTCTTCAAAATGGACTCTGTACTGTATCTCCTCCATCCAGTTGGCAAATATTTTTCAAAATAATTCTTCTCCCTGTTTTTATGCATCATAAGATACAGTCAGAGTTTTGTTGAATATCATCATCTGTGTTACATATTCCAAGGAAGTGTGGATATATTTTTCATGTGAGGGTGGACAACAACTTTTGTAAAAGAGCCTATAAGGGTTATATTATTTTTCAAAACTAAATATTTGTTACTGTTGTTGTTGTTTTCTTTCTGAGGCAGCAAGATGGCTCAGTGGATAAAATGCTGGGCCTGGAGTTCATGCTCCTCCTGAGGAGGACCTGAGTTCATGTTTGAGCTCAGACATTTGATATTCAGACTCTATTCCTATCAAGGAATTTTATAATTCATAATTATTAATGTATAACTGAAAGAAAAAAATGGTCTAGAGACATAGCAAGAAATAGGAATTATAGACGTACAATCTGAATGTGCTTTCAATGTGAGAAGAAAGTAAAGGAGTCCTCTAGCACATCGGATAGACTTACTATGAGAAGGGGTCCCCTAATGGCAGAGAAGCTGTGGGATAATACACTAATAATTAGTGATATGCAAACTAAAATAGCTCTCAGGGTCCAAATAATATCCACGATTTTAGTAATGATGACAAAACAGAAAAAAAGACAAATATTGTAGGAGTTGTGTGAAAATAGATATTTTAACACAATGGCAGTGAAGCTGTGAATTGCTTTAGCCTTTCTGGAAAGCAATTTCTAAGTATGCCCCAAAAGTCGCTAATATGAGGTGCATTCCCCAACGAGATGAAAGAAAGAGGAAATATTTGTATAAAAATACTTACAGCAGCTCTTTCCATAGTATCCTAAAATGGAAACTAAAGAATGACAACCTATTAAGAAATAGCTAAACATATTATAGTATATAAGTTCTGGAATATTATTGAAACTTAATTATTCAATTAAAATATAGAAAATAAATACTGGAAAACTGAAAGTAAAGATTTTTTCATTTGTATTTGTTTAAGAAGAATTATGGTAAGACATGGACAGGAATTGCAAAGCATGGATAGGCATGAGAATTGTAATCAGCATCTCTAAGATCCATTAAAGTATATAAGCTTTATTTCTCTGGATAATTGTGATAAATAATAATAACAATAGCTAACATTTATATAACTTTAAGGTTTTCAAACTGCTTTACAAATATTGCTTTAGTCACACATTTAATTTTCATTTCCCCTCATTTTCCCTCTTATACAATGTTTACTTAATAATCCATTGAAAATCATTTAACCTCGGTTTGTCTCAGTTTTCACATCTGTAAAATGAAAATAGTAATAGCACCTACCTCCCAGGATTTTTGCCAGAATCTACTGAGGTAATATTTGTAAAGTACTTAAACAGTTACCTATGCATAGTAAGCACTGTGTAATTGCTGGCTATTATTATTTTTTATAAAAATCTAAAATTAAGTAAATGAGATATTATATAGCTTTCAGTTAATTGTGAAATTATAAATATGTATTCCATTGTTCATATTGCTTTGGAAAGTCTGCTCACTGTGTCCTTCCTCTGTGTATAGATGATTCATATAAAGATCTTGTGTAGAAAAGAAAACAGACTAGACATATAGTTATTGATGTTCACTTTGTTACCCCTTTCCAGTATCAACATCTGAAGTGATTTTATTTTCCTCCTACACCTTTGATCTCTTCTTTTCCTTCAGATACCTTGTATGTGCATAATAAATTCACTCACAATGGGGTCATCTCCATCACAGATCTCCTTTACATATACTTAGTATGATTTTACTGCTTCTCTCTGTCTCTCTGTCTCTGTCTCTGTCTCTCTCTGTCTCTGTCTCTCTCTCTCTCTCTCTCTCTCTCTCTCTCTCTCTCTCTCTCTCTGTCTCACTCACTCTTTCTCTGTCTTTTAAATCTTTAGTGTCATTTTTAACAACCTAAGCACATCCAAGACTCTAATGTTAAGGAACAAGAGTGGTGGTTCCACTGTTCCTGACGGTGAAAGAGTTGTTAAATGATTTTTTCAGCCTTCCATTTTTCTTCTGTTTACAATAATCCTTCCATTTTCATCCTTGAATGCCCTTGATTAGATATCTTACCAAATGTTCATTAATCTGGTTTTACCCTCCACTGCTTCCCTCTACTGTATGAAAGGACAGTACTCTTAATCATTTATCATCTTTCTTTGTACAAGCTTACAATGGAAATTGCATTTTTATTGGGTATTGTCTTTAGCAGACACCTTTCTCTATCTGGCAAATAAGTCAATTGTTTGTTACCTAAGGAGAGTTCTGGGGACTTTTTTCTTCACTGTTTTTGCAATTAATTTATATTAGCTAATCTTCTGAATGTCAAGATTATTATTCTCAAAGGAAATGTTTTCATGAGAAAATAAGAAGAAAATACTAAGGATATGAAGGCAAAATCAGAAGAAATCTAATAAAGGATAGTTCATAATAAAATAAAATGAAGATAGAAAAATAGGAACATTTACTTAAATTGATGAGAAAATGTTCTAAATAGAAGTTGAAGGGATTCCTTATACCTACATAGACACTCCAGAGACTTATCTCCTTCCTAATAGTATAGCTACCTACATGAATGTAACCATTTATGTACTGAACAATGGAGTCCTTTCTGTTCTCAATCACTCTATTCTCCATTTCACTTTCTACTCCCTACATTTTACCCTTTATAGAAAGTTTACATCCTGTACAGCATGTCATCATCACTTGAAGCCACAATAAAACTGACATCAGAGCTTTCCAGTCTACCTCTGTTTCTGTCTCATCTCTGTTCTGTTTTTGTCTCTGTCTCTCCATCTCTGTCTCTGTCTCTGTCTTTGTCTCTCTCTCACACTCTTTCCCTCTCTCTCTCTCTCTCTCTCTCTCTCTCTCTCTCTCTCTCTCTCTCTCACTGTCCCCTTTTCCCTCTTTCTCTCTGAGATAAATCACATCAAGAAGTAGCTGTTTCTATTAAGGAGAGATTTTCTTATTGAAACATTAAGAAATACTATTAATGCTACAGCTTGGTTACATTACTGATTAACTGACTGAATTCTTTGTAATTTGTTCTTTGTAATATGTTCTTCTCTCCCCATTTGAGGTAGAAAGAAAGAATGGGATAGGAGATAAGAGTTTATGTCAAGATCTGCTTTGCTAAATAATACAAATTTGTACTTACTGTTGTCCAACTGACCTGCTGACCTAGATCTGTGAAATATAATGTAATAATGGAAGAAGCTGCAATGCTTTGAATGTTAACATAATCCTTCAGAAAGGGTCCACCTATAATTAAAAAAAAAGATTAAGCATCAATTAAATAATTCAATTAAACCTGATAAAAATATTTGAGAGAAGCAAACTGGCTTAGTGGATAACAAGTCAGCTTTAGAGTCAAGAAGACTTGGGTTCAAATATTTCCACTGACAAACAATGAATGACTTTGTGCTCCTTGGAAAAAAATCATCAAACTTCTCTCAGTTTCCAGCAGTTTTCTAAGTCTACAGGTTGTGGAACAAGCACTAGCAGAGAGAATTTCCTTATTGGGAGTTCCGTATTTTTCTTTTCTTTTCTTTTTTTTTTTTAGTATCTCCAATCTCATTGATGTAGGGAGCTCCTTATGAGTATTTCACCTCTACCAGTACAGGTGGTCAACTACTTTCCAAATTCCCTATGCCAAGTAAACCACAGGTCCTATCCAAAAATATGTATGCATACTTATAAATATATGTACACACATACATACGCAGACATATGTGTAAGTAGAGTACTTTTTTGATAACTAATAGCATAAAATAAAGCTGAAAAATCTTGACTTATGAGGTGTATTTAAATTGATAATGTGCTTAAAAAACAAAGAAATTTGCTGAATTTGGAATCAAAAGACTTGAGTTCACAAAGCAATCTCTACTACTTACTATCTTTGTGACATTAGACAAGGCAATTATGGCCTTTTGGAATACACACCATACACACACATACACATACGTATGTATGTATATACATATGTGTGTAAATTACATATATGTATATATGTATGTTTTAATCTATAAAGTGAAGGGACTGGATTAGATGAACTCTGCTATCTCTCTGAATTCTAAATCTCTGTCTATGCTCCCATAACATTATAATTCACATGCTGATTGTTATAATTAAGGAATTTTCTGCAACAACCCTCTAATCCTTAAGTAGGTTACTCCTGCAATTAAGAAACTTTGAGATTTTTCACTCTACATGATCTACCTACATTGTCTAATGTACTTAGAAAGTACAAATGCATTTTGATACTAACTTCTAGCTCTAATACTAGTCCTTATATAATGAAGAGTTAGATAAGGATTCCAGAAACTTTCAAAGTCCATATAAGTACTAAAACTGTTCTGCTTCTACAATAGCAAAGCAAATATTTTTTAAAAAAGGAATCTATTTTAATTCTTCAATGCACTGTAAGCTAATCATATGGATACACATTTTCATTCTCCTTAAACTCTAGAAGTTCCTTGTTAGCTCTTGCATCAAGCACCAAGTCCCCTATTTGACATCTGAAGCTCTTTATGAGCCTACCCTACTTCCTATCTTTTGTTGTTGTCTGGTTTACTCCCCTCCGTGCACTCTCCCATTTAGCAACATCGACCGTCTTACTATTCATCCCAGGGCAAACTCCACTTCCTGACTCTGCCTGTGTCTTTGGACTGGCTGTTCTCCAAACCTGGAATTCTCTCTCTCCCCAGTACCCATCCCTGCCTACTGGCTTCCCTGGCTTCCTTCAAGATATCAAATCCTACTTTATGCACTTGGACTTTCTCAGTCCTCTAGCTGCTAATGCCTTCCACTCTGAGATTATCTTTAATCTACTCTTTATGTGTTTTGTATGTGCTTAGTTATTTTCATATTGCATCTTCCTATTTTACTCTAAACTTCTTGAATACAAGGGTAGGGAGTTTTCTTTATTTGTCTGTTTTGTATTTTGTTTTTGTAATCCCAGCATTTAGAAAAAGTGCTTGATATTCAGTAATCTACAATTCTTGTTGACTGACTAACTTGATGAATCTCTTCTGGTCACTCTATAAATTATCTGAAGACAGCTTCCTATTTAGATCTTTTAATTTTTGGAGAGTTTCAAAGGTAAATTCAATTTAATAAATATTTAGAATCTACTATATGCTAAACACCCTTTCCTTAAGGAGCATTCAGTCTAGGAGTAGGATAAAACAATTATGATACAAATTAGATTATAGACGTAATAAATGTAAACGACTTGTCAATCTTCCAAAATGGAAGTTCCAAATGTAGATAAATTACAGGTCCAGAACCATAACACCCATCCCAATGACTAGTGTTTCTTGTAACTTTCGTTAGCTAATAACTACTAATATATGTCTATTTTAAAAGATCTAGTTTTATTTTGCTCAAATTATTTAATAGTTCAATTCAACCTCTTGAGTTAGCAAAACTTATTGCAATGTTAGAAATTACTTAAAAATTAATGTCAGAAATCACTCGTCATTGAATTGGGAATACAGAAAGATCTTCTTCACTGTTATACACAGTCTCCATTTTTGATTCATATTGGACTTCAGAAATGGGACAAACAATTTAGTCTTTATTTATGAAAATGACAATCAGTAGACATTTTATGGATTCAAATAGATACTTTTCAAAACTGAAAGGCAGATAATGTTCTGTTGATAATCATAGCTCTGTGAAAGGACTAAAAAAATTTTTAAAAAAACTGAAAAGAGTTGTGGATATGGTTTGAAGATAGTAATTTCACCAATTTATTTAGAATGGCAGGGAAAATTCAAATGGGCAGAATAATCAGTGTGTATTTTTAATACTTGCTCTTTAAGGTATTTTAGTGAAAAAAACATTTTCTAGTTCTTGGTACAAAACCTCTTTTTTAATTCATCATTATTCATAATAATTTGAAATCACAAAACTGAAAGAGGCCCCAGAATCTAGTTAAACTCCTTCTTTTGCAGATAAGGAAGCAGCGGTCCACAGAAGAGAAGCTGAATTATTTAATGTCTTACAAAGAATGATTATGCAAATAAAGAACTCTTGGAAATTTCTTGAGTATAGCAGAAGAGCAGTGAAATAAGCTCATAGGAACATAGTAAGGACAAGTTGAACACTTGCTCTGATTAAGCTATACTGAAAATTACCACTGCTTTGGCAGCTCTCCTGAGTACTTGCATAGAGAATCTGTATGGTAAAGAAAGATACAATGATGTGGCTTCTTATGCTTGCATATGGCAGATAAGTTATCAACACAAAGGGCCCTAAAATGGTTATGAGGTTAAGTGGATATATGAGTTGAATAATTTTAACAATATGATTCAGCAATAGACTGGAAAAGGATTCTTCATTCTTGTCTACATTTACCATTTGTTTGTTTGTTTCTTTTTAAACTAATGTGATTACTGGAAAGTTGACCACACAGTAAAATTCAATTAACTAACCATTTATGAAGCTTCTCCAAAATATTGTCTTCAATTGGCTTATACTGTACTAATTAACCTCAGTTTCAACTTCTTCATCTATTAAGTAGGATATCTGTCTTAATTAGCAGGCCATTTTGGATTGTTATAAGCATAAACTGAGATTGGAGTTATGTAATATTCTGTAAACAAAAATCCTTCACAATCAACAAGAATTTTTCCTTATATCTTTATTTCTACTGATTGTTGAGAGAACCCATGTTATGCTTAGTGACAAACTCCAAATCTTAAGGATATCTTGAAATTTTTATAGATTTAAACTTTTTTTCACTGGATAAAATGCTATTGCTAAATAAATATTACCAAAACATGTTGTTAGCTAGGAAGCTTCTCATCTGCCCTCTCTGTTTTTGGCAGCGAAAAAGCCAGAGGAAATTAGTAATAACAAAGGAAACAAGAATAATAACCATGACTTTAAGATGTTACTTGGGGCAGCTAGGTGGCAGACTGGATAGAGCACCAGCCCTGGAGTCAGGAGGACCTGAGTTCAAGCCTGGCCTCAGACACATAACACTCATTAGCTGTGTGACTCTGGGCAAGTCACTTGACCTAAACTGCCTCATCAAAAAAAAAAAAAAAGATGTTACTCAAAATGGTGGAAAATTATTGATCAGTACTTACTGCGTTCCAATTGAAGGCCAACACGGGAAGGGCACCACTGGGGACCTATTTAATGTTAAAGAAAAATATTTAGCTTTTTTCCAACTGTAAGAATATCTTACTAGAATTAGTTGTACCCTATGGTTCCAGATACATATCGGACAATGACTCTAAAATAGGACAACTTTGGTCACATTTATGGTTCTCATTGCAGAGGAGTATTTTTTTTAAAAATCAACATTTTCTTGAAAATGAATAAAATGTTTTAAGTATTTAATAAATGCTAACTACTATTATTATTTCATAGAGAGAATTTACATGTTATAATGTCTTCCAAGTCTTTATTTTTTTTGAAAAAAATATTCTACTGATATCTTTTGTTTTGATTATACTCATGTCTAAATATATCATTTATACCTACTAATCCAATGAGCCATTCTTCATAAAAAAGTCTTTTTTCTTAAAAGAGGAAAATAAATTTTATTAAAACCAATCAACACACTAACAGTATATGCCTATCCATATTCTAAGCCTATCACCACCAATCTCAGCAATGAAAGGAGAGGTTACATAATCGCAGCTCCTCTTTGAGGCCTACCTAGTTACTTATACTTTACACAGAATTCAGTGGCATTTTAATAACTTCTATTATTTCTAGAACGTCCAAGAACTGGTCACTTCTATCTTAGTACTATGGTCTTCTATTATTGTTCCTGGAAAGAACTTACAGTTCTGACTAAACATCCAAGTCTATGGAAATACTATACTTAAATACGTAGTATTACATAGTAGATAGAATCTTAAGTACAATCAGGAAAAAAAATTGAATCTGGATTTTGTCTCAGACTTACACTGTGTGACCATGAGTAAATCGTTTAACATCTGTCAGTCTTAGTTTCCTTATCTGTATAATGGGAAGAATAATAGTACCTCCTTCACAGGTTTGTTAGGAGCATCAAATGATGTGATTTTTAAAGACTTTTACAAACCTTAAATAACTTCGTAAATGCTGGGTTTTTTATTGCTAATACTATTACCATTATTACTATAATAATAAAAGTAATAATTATTGTTGCTGTTTATTTAGCGCTAAGTGACCCAATCAACTCTAAAATATTAATGGACAGAAGAGTTTGTAATTGGCATTGAAAGAGGGAGTTTCTACCCAGGGATCTGATTATGCTGATAAAATCAAGGGTCTGAATCCTGACAAACTCTCTTTGTAGGAAAGCTCGATAAGCCTTACCTATCAGTGATTCATAAGTAAGCAACTGCAACCTATCTAAATAAAAATCCATGAATCATAGCAGTATTTCGCTCATAAGAGTTTAGTTTTAGATTAATTTTTCATAATTTTATTCCATTGAATGCAATAAGCATGCATTCAATATCTAGTGTGTGTCAAACACTGTGCTTGGCACTGGGGAAAACAGAAAATTTGTAGAGACAGACTTTGCCCTCATGAAGCATAAATTATGTATAGTAAATTGAATGAGAAAACCTTTTGTGAGTATTCTCTGGCAAATTTATTTTATGTGGACTATAAGTATTACCAAGGGCAGCCAGGTGGCACTATGGATCAGAGCCAGGGGGTAAAGTCAGGAAGACTTGTCTTCCTTAGGTTCAAATCTGACTTCAGATGCTAGCTGCGTGACCCTGGGCAAGACACTTTACCCTGTTGGCCTCAGTTGCCTCATCTGCAAAATGACTTAGAGAAGGAAATGGCAAACCACTCCAGTATCTTTGCAAGAAAATCCCAAATGGGGTCATGAAGAATTAGACAGGACTGAAACTTGTGAACAAGTATTGTCATAGATTTTGTTTTTCCTTAAAGATATTTATGCATTTTTTTTCATGTTGATTGGAACCATTTTGATGGGAGATAGCATAGTACAGCAGAAAGAGCACTGTATTTAGAGTCATGGATTCACTTGCTCTCTCTGACACTTAATACCTGTGTGATCTAGAGCAAGTTATATACACTCTTTAAGCCTCAATTTCTTCATCTATAAAATGAAGGGTCAGAGTAAAGTCTCTTTCATAGCTCAATCTATGATACCATGATCTTTTTACTACCTGTGCAACATTGAGAGAGCCACTGGTCTTTTCTGGGCCTCAATTTCTTCATGTATAAAATGAGGGGACTGACCTACCTTATATGGTCTCCAGTGCCCTCTAGGGCACTTCATTTCCTTCCTACTCAGTTAACATGGTCCTAAACTATAAATGTACTCAGGGAATAGTGTTGGCTTGTGCCACTGAAATGATGCAGCCAGTTTCATATGGAGGGGGAATTATTCATTGCCTGTAGCAATTCTTTGGAGTAGCTTCTGTCTTCTTGGCAAGGGAAAAAATTCCAGTTACAAAGGCTTTAAATTTCACAGGATTTGATGCTCCTAACAAACCTATGAAGTAGGTACTATTATTCTTCCCATTATTCTCATTCCCATATTCTTTCCCAGATTAAGAAACTAAGACTGATAGATGTTAAGTGATTTACTCATGGTCACACAATGCAAGTCTGAGACAAAACCCAGATTCAGTTTTTTCCTGGTTGTACTTAAGATTCTATCTACTATGTAATACTGTATGTTTAAGTATAGTATATCCACAGAGTTGGAGATTTAGTCAGACTTGTAAGTTCTTTCCAGGAACAATACTAGAGACTGTAGTACTAAGATAGAAGTGACCAGTTCTTGGATGTTCTAGAAATAATAGAAGTTAATAAAATGTCACTGAATTCTGTGTAAAGTGTAAATACGTAGTCCCTTGTAGTTCTAAAGCTATGAACCTATGAAATATACATAAATTATACAAATAAGAGTTACATTAATATGACATATGCTAGAGCAATTCTGTGAAATATAGCAGGCAAAATTAACAGACTATGTATGCTAAAAAAAACCTGCTAACATAATTATAGTAATACCTCATATCTCTATAGTATTTTATAATTTTTCATTTTTTTATATTGATGACCATATCTGATCTTTAAAATAACTCATTCATGTGAAGTGGATCTAGGTCAACAGTTATTACCTCCATTTTGCAGATGAGAAAACTGAGTTAGGCTCATAAAGGTTAAATAGGTCACCAAATACAAGAATTGGTAGAGTTAATACTAGACATCAAAGAATGGTAAAGGCGGGGGGAGAGTTGAATTTGCAGTCCCTAGCTCTGCTACTTAGCATAATATCTTTGTGACCTTGGACAAATCAGTTAACTTCTCTGGGCCTCAGGTTTCCGTTTGTAAAATGAGAAGGTTGAACTTGGTAATCTGCAAGTTTCCGTTTCACAGCAAATGTTTGATTGTAGTAGGATCCTAAAAATGCCTCTGTTATATTGTAAAAATATAATTAGACATCCATCTCTGCCTCTAAGTTTATCTAAGTAAAAATTAGGAGTACTAAAATGAAGAGATAAAGGTAAAAAATATAAAGTTTGCTTTTGAACATTTCTGTCTAAAATAATTTTGTCCATTTATCCTATGAACTCATGTAATCATGTTTGTTACATATATTCACGGCAAATTGTCCCTATGCCCAGTTCAAAATTAAGGATATGAATATTGTATGAAGGTTATCTATTATATGAAGACAAAAACAATAAATTCTTAACAATTATGTTGGGGGTAGGGGTAGAAGTGAAGTCTTTTGAAATAAGCACAGATACTTATTACTTCATAATAATAGTAAAGAGGCCATGCCTCTTTGATGCATGATGTTTTCTCCCTAGAAGATAACATTTTTGCCATCATATGAATAAAAACCACATGTAACAAAAGAGGAAATAAAATTTGGTTTCACATGAGGTCTAAGTTCTGCTATTTTATTACCTATAGATACACTCTTGCCACTTTAAAAAAAATACTTTACATGACTGACAGCTCTAAAGAGGAGATAAGAACCCTTATTTAGGAATGCTAAACAGAAATTAATACTAATCCTAAGTGAATAGATAGAGCCACAGACTAGAGGACTAAGCACTGTGAAATCCTTTCTGACAATGACGTACCTAAAAAGTTAACAGCTCCAAATCACTCCAGGGCAGTTCATTTCCTTCCTACTCAATTAACATGGTCCTAAAGTATAAACATGCTCAGGGAATAGTGTTGGCTTGTGCCAATGAAATGATGCAGCCAGTTTTCATATGGAGGGGGAATTACTCCTTGCCTGTAGCAATTTTTTTGGAGTAGCTTCTGTTTTCTTGGCAAGGGAACAAGTTCTAACAACTGCTTTAGAAAGCAGAGAGGAATACAGTGTGGCTCCTTGGAGCTGAAAGCATAGGCCTTCCACGGGGATTTTAGAAGACGTGGCTAAAGAAGTATTCCAGATGCTGAATCCTTCAAAGTTGGACAGCTACTTGGGAGCTTTTTTTAAAAAAAAAATTCCATGTTATCCACCAACATGAAAATATCTGTTCTTACCCCAGAATAAAAACTATGCATCATGTTTTTGTAAACACCTTCATCTCAAGATTCTTTTCTTGATCACATGCATTCCCATAACCTGATGATAGCATTGTTATTTATTTGTATAATATGTATTGTCTTTAACCAGCAAAGATTGCAGTCTAATGTTCTTAAAATTGACAAAGGATTGTGTAATCTGAGACATTTCCTTTCTCTTTGAGCAATGTGTTTGAAAAAAAAAACCTCCTACAAAAATTTTTAAAATGATACTTCTCATTTTAATTTTCCCATAAAACGTAACATATTCAACTTTATTAGAGAAAATAGTTTAAAAATAAATTAGCAAATAAATGTAAATAAAAATAATAGGGGATGTAATTTTTTTTAGATTCTTGAAAAAATTATGTATGTATGTATTATATATATACATATATACTATAAACACATATTAAGAGAGATAAAGAAAGGATCTACATATATGTTATGGGAACAAGAACTGGAATGTAAAATTTTTCGAGGAATTTTTTTAAAATTGTATTTATTACAACTGCAACCCCAAAGAATTTACAATTTGCTAGCAGGAGAAACGTAGTATGACTGATAGAGATTAATCTTCAAAATAGAGAAAGCCTGAATTCAAATTTGTTTTCTTATA